CTTTATTCCTGTTCTGTCTCTCACCACAGCACAGTCAGATTCCACAGATGCTAAACAGTTGATTTTCAAAGAGATCAACTGAAGATCTAACTGTTTAATAGTGTATATGTCCTATTGATTTTATTTTCAAAGGCTTCTTTCTGTGTGGGGTTCTCCAATCGTATTTAAAATTAATGAGATCTGTCATCCAGAATAATGGCAAATTAAAATAAAAGTCCACTCAGTTATGGTGTAACTCAGTAATTCTCAACCTAGCACGCATACTTACTGGCGTTATCTGGGAAGTTTGCAGAAATACGGTAACCCAGGCCACAGTCCCATAGATCCTCAAATAACTTATTTGGTTGGAGCTTAAAAACTCTCCAGGTGATGCTGATATACAGTAAATGTGGAGAACAACAGCAAGTGTAAGAATTAAATACAACCAAATGAGATTGTTTGGGCAACTTAAACCAGTATGACCTCCAGACCAGCAGCGTCAGTACAACCTGGTAGCTTGTTAGAAGTGCACAATCATGGACCCCATTCCAAACCTACTACATCAGAATCTCTGGGAGCAGTGCCCAGCCGTCTGTGCTTTAAGAAGTGCTCTAGGTCAGTAGTTCTCAACCTTCCTAATGCTGCAATGTATTTTCATTGTTAAAAAGGGGTCTCAATGCACAAGTTGAGAACCACTGCTCTAGGTGATTCTATGGCACGCTAAGGTTTGAGGACCACCGGCTTAAACCACCAAGCTCTTCTGTTGACAATAAGATTTTCTAGAGACGTAGTTGGAAACCCTAGCATGTATCTCTCTTATTCACACTTAACCAAAGAGTCCTCTCTCAATATATCCCAGGTCCTCGCTCAGTCTCTCCCAGGTGCTTAAGGCTCCAGTGATGCTTTGGAAGCTACTGCATGCTGGTGGCAGAGTGAGCAGCTTTCAGGCAAGCGTTTGGCACTCAACTCCTTGACCTCTGATTCCTTTCACATTCACAAAGAAGCGGCATAGAGACAGAGGGAGAACAATTTAGGATGGCTCAGGTGAAAGCCAGAGGTGGGTAGGATCTGGAACAGTGAGTCTCAACTGTGGCTGCACCTGGAGCAGTGCAGTGAACTGTAAAAAGCACTGAGGCCTGGGTTCCATTCCCAGATATTTTGATGTAATTGGTTTTGGGTGTGGTGTGGGCATCAGGATTGCAGGAAGGTGCCAAGTGAATCTATGTGCAGCCTAGGCTGAGAGCTGAGAGAGCTGAGTTCTCCTCCCTGGAGAACTGGAGGACTAGAGGACTTCTTCTTCTTCTTCTTCTTCTTCCTTTTTTTTTTGTGAGGGTCTCATTCTGCTTCCCAAGTTAGAGTGCAGTCATATCATCACAGCTAACAGCAACCTCAAACTCCTGCGCTCAAGCAGTTCCTCCTGCCTCAGCCTCCTGAGTAGCTAGGGAGTACCCCCACTGTCACCACACCTCGCTGATTTTTCTATTTTTAGTAGAGATGGGTTCTTACTCTTGCTCAGGCTGGTCTCAAACCCCAAAGAATTGTCCCACTTCCCCCTCCTGGAGTGCTAGGATTGGAGGGACTTAATTCTCCTATGTCCTCCTTCTGCCACTCATCAGGCTCTTTGCTGCACGCAGAGCACAGGGGAGAATGAAAGGCAGGCAGCCTGCGAGGGTTTGGCTTCTCCAGCATCCTGACATTCATATCCATCAGTTACTCCACAGAGCAGGGAAGAGTGTGAACGCTGGACCCCTGACATGTTTTCTTTCATTTCACTGTCTGACTTATAAAATCATTTAAATAATTTGTGCGTGGAATCCCATAACCAGCAAAGGAAAGAAAGGGGCGTCTGACTGAGGTCCATCATGCTCATGGCTCTCCAGAGTCTAACAGCGATCTCAGGTTACTAGTTCATCTCATGTGGTGTTGTCAGCAAGGCTGTCTTTCCATCAGTATATAATACTTTTGCTCTCTTCTCTCTCTAAAAGCAAGAGCCTGGTTGTACATGTATTCCCCTGTCAAAAAGAGGGAAGTTACCTAGTGCGTGCAGAGTCCTTTCCACTTACCGAGGACATGAGGCTGCACAAGGGTCGTGTGTGGCTGGCTGCTGGACCCCACACCTCAGGCTCCTTTTCCCATGTACATGATGCCCACAGGGTCCTCACCACACGTGAAAGGTGAGCCCCAGACATGTTTGGGTGGTCATGGACATTTAGTATTCATAAGTGACTCTGTACACTGGGCCGCCTATTTTCTGGTGGCTGGGGGTTTGGGGATAAACAGTAAAGTGAAATTGTTGCAGGAAGATGAGGTCCAGTGGAGAGAAAGAGCACCTGAACACCATGTTTAAAAGAGGAAGGGCTTTACTGCAGCTGGTAGAGCAGTGGCAGACCCAGGGCAGACCCAGAGTACCAGAATGGCTGCGCTCCTGAACTGGCTCGGTCTTGTCCTTTTTGTCTCCAGCCTAAAACTTCCTGCCCACAGGCATCTTTCTCATTGGTCAGTTTGAATCAAGCTGGAGAAGCCGCTTTTACAGAACCGAGCTTTCACAGAAGTGGAAGCAAGCATCAGCCTACAGGTCCCAGAAGTTAAGTTTTCTTTTTCTTTTTTTTTGAGAAAGAGCCTCAAGCTGTCATCCTGGATAGAGAGAGTGCTGTAGCATCACAGCTCACAGCAACCTCCAACTCCTGGGCTTAAGCAATTCTCTTGCCTCAGCCTCCCAAGTAGCTGGGACTACAGTCATCCGCCACAACGCCCGGCTATTTTTTTGGTTGTAGTTGTCATTGTTGTTTGGCAGACTCGGGCTGGATTCGAACCCACCAGCCCTGGTGTATGTGGCTGGCGCCTTAGCTGCTTGAGCTACAGGCGCTGAGCCAGGAAGTTACGTTTTTTTACAAATTCCTAAGAGCTGAGTCATCATGGGGAGGACCTCGCAGGTGTATCCTTGGGGTGTCCTTGAGAAGACCTCTGTTCTCTTTGACCTTACGTTTTCCAGGTATCCTCTCTCAAGTTGCAGCTTAGTTTCACCATGCACATGACCACTCTCCTCGCTTTAAAATGCTATAATATCTGAGCAGGGAGGAGGAAATGAAGCATTCCTGAGAGAGTTTGAGTCGAGGTCAGCTGAGATGACCATGACTGGGCCACCCATCAGGGATGCTTCTGTTACACCTGCAGCCTGTGTGGCCCTCTCACCCAGTGACCCCGCAGGTGGGTGGCACACAGGGATGCTTCTGTCACACTTGCAGCCTGGATGGCCCTCTCACCCGGTGACCCCGCAGGTGGGTGGCACACTGGGTAGGCCGTCCCTTTCTGCTTCTAACACATCTTCCTCCTTCTCCGTATTTGTACTGTCGCTTGCTAATGCCTCCCTTCACTCTCACTCTGTGTCCTTTCCTTATCTTCTGCACCGTCACCGGTTTACCCCCAGGCCCCACCCCTTTACCCTGAAATATGTCCAAATTTAGATAAAAAGATACAGCAATAAAATTAGGAAGTTATACCAGGCAGATTAACCTTCTGAGAACCAACAGAGAAATGGAGAAGCGGGAGGAAGGAGAATCGGTGGATGAGGGAAATAACAAAGACAGCAAGCCCTGGTGGTGCGTGGTGCTTTATGGGTTCTAAAGTGTTTGTAGTTATTGTTTCATTTGCTCCAACATTCACTGCAAGGTAGAGCAGAGGGCCCCCCATTTGGCTTTTAGGAAAGGGAGGATTAGAAGGGGGGAAGGGACTGGAGAGGGCTGCAGCAGGTTTCAAGCTCAGCCTTCCTGATTTCAAGGACAGCCTTCCTTCCACAATGCTAGGATGTGCCCTTGGAGCCCTGGAGCACAGCCCCGGATGGAGATACCCCTGCACCTTCGTCCCCAGACCTATTTCTCCAGGCAGAGTGCTGCCTTCCTCCACAGCGGGGCTGCACTCCTGTGTTTGGAAATTGTTGCTTTTATCCAAGAAGCACAGGATGCCTCCTACAGAGAGTCAGACAGACAATTTTAAAAAGACTGGAGCTCACTAGTGGGATGTGAAGCTGCACAGTGGTTTTAGGGGGCCCCATGTCCTTTGCACTGAGAGTCACTGTTAGCTCACAGGCCAGGGGAGGAACAGCTGATGGCTTAGGGGGAAGATCTTCAGGGGCTGTCCTCTTCGGGTTACACCCACATCCTAGCTGTTGTGTCCTTTGGCGGCTCCTCTGGTTTCCATCTTGGCTTTGTATACTTCTGATTTTCTACCCTGCTCCGCCTCTGTCACTTGGTAACCCACTCGTTTCTGACCTGATTCTGGGGTCCACCCTGGTTTCCGACTCCCCTTTCGATGATATTGAATTCGTCCTTCTGCAGACTCTTGGAGCTGATCTCAAAATGTTTTCAGCTCTCCTCCCTTTGACATCCTGGACTTCTTACACTCTCTGGCCTCCCCTGACTTAGCTTCTGCCAATCCTCATCTTGTGAGGACTGGGCCTTGGTTAGTCTTAAGTTTTAAGAGCAGACTGGGTGCATCTCTCCTTACCCAGTGCCCACATTCTCTCTTGCTTTGCCCACTTTTAGCTACTCTGTGGAATGTCTTGCCCTTGTGCAAACTGAAGAGTGATCAGAGAAGTTTATTGCAGCATTGTTGGAAACACAGAATAAACAACCTAAATCTCTGTCAGGAAAGAATAAGTTACAGTACATCCAAATGATGGGGGGAACAGCTCTCCGTACAATCACAGGATAATTTTCAAGATGAAATTTCAAGTGAAAAAAGCAAGGTGTAGAACAGTACACTTACCTACATTTTACTACCATTTGTGTTAAAAAAGAAAACAAGAAAACAAAGGGGCGGTGCCTGTGGCTCAGTGGGTAGGGCACAGGGCCCTATATACTGAGGGTGGTGGGTTCGAACCCAGCCCCAGCCAAACTACAACAACAACAACAAAATAGCTGGGCATTGTGGCAGGCGCCTGTAGTCCC